CGGCAAGGGTATAAATGCCTGACGACATATTGAGCGCTAAGAGACAGGGACAGGAGAGAGTGGACACCACAATGCGCTAACTTCAACAATTTTTATTTTCAGGAAACGCGAACCTATAAATCCGTGTACAGTGGCGCCACCAGTCTATCCACTAGCCCAGCAGAAAAGCCCTTTCTCGATCTAACAAGTCAACTGACGGTGCACTTACACATGCGTCACCTTTGCGAAAGATAGCATGGGCTTCAATTATCTCTCGCACGTCTTTATCTTTATGCTTCGCCAGAACACTGCAGGATGCGTACAAGGGTGTGCAACCACATTCCACGCAATGTACTGACAAATGGCCATAATTATTCTTGTTTTTAACATTGAGCTTATGTTCACGAAGACGGTCATTAAGGCATCTACCCGTCTGACCTATACATATACCACCACAAGTCAGAGGAAGCCCATAAACTACCCCTTCAACACACGCCACAAAATGATCGCGATGCTTCTTGGAGCAACCGACAGCAGGCTTGCGGTGCGGGTCCGTCAAGCGACTTATCCTGCCAAGCTTTTGTGGTGCTGAGAATACTACTTTGATGCCCACTCGACTAGCTACTTTCTTCAGGTTATGAGCAGTTTTGTGCAGGTACGGCACTACTGCAACTCTGCTCCTACTCGCTGCCGGTTGGATGTCTGCTTCCCGAGGGCGACTGTCCAACCGGCATTTTTTAAGCAAACCCTCGACAACAGACACCTGTATCGACTCTGGGAAACCTGCTGCGGATAACCTCTCCGACTGACTCATGACACTTTTCTGAATTTTATGATGGCAAGATTTCCGCAATGCGTTCCCAAAACACAGATTGGCAATGCTTCTTTTTACTAGCTTCGAGTGAGCAGATTGGTATGGCAACAGGGGCTTATTAGCTCTGGGCTTGTATTCCCAACACGTGTGCTGCTGCTTGAATTCCATTTCAACGTCTAAAAACCGCAGCACGCTATCGGTTGGCTCTTCTACTGTAATAATGAGTGGGCTAAGGCAAGCAGAAAAAACAGCTTCGAGTTGACTTACTGCTACGTTTTCTTCACGCTCGAACAAGACAAGGTAATCGTCCACGTATCTCACAACTTTTGCCACCCTGTGCTGTGACAAGACATGTGCCAGATTTCTATCATGGTGGGCCAGAAAAATGTCACTCAGTACCGGCGCCAAACAGGAGCCGATACAGATGCCCTGCTTCTGAAGGAAAGTTTTTCCATTCCACGTGGCAAATGTCGAGCGGAGATATAAGCGAAGCAAGTCTAAAAAGCATTGAACCGAAATCTCGGCTGAGTTTTGAAACGCAACCACACCAAAGCTGTCAATACATTCTTCCACGCGCTCGATTAGTTCATTTTGAGGCAAAGAATAATATAAATCTTTTATGTCAAAGGAGCAGGCGAAAAAACCTTTGTCTGGGTTACTCTTCAGGAAATCTAATATTTCCCCGGAATGCTTAATCAAAAAGGGGTCGTCGATTTTAAGAATACCGAGCCTTTCTTGCAAGAAAAGGGCTAGGTTCTTCTGCCATGACCCTATTTCCGAAACTATTACCCTCAATGGCCATTCAGGCTTGTGCGTTTTCGCGCTAAACATAATATCAAGGCTATCTTTCTTGGCTGCGTCAATATCGTGAAACAATCTACTCAGGCCCAAATTTTTACAGAGACGTTTTGTTTCAAGTTTTACCTTCCTAAGAGACACATTATTGCACTCATTAAAAACTTTGGCAACTGCAGAACAGGCTCTCTCGTCATAGTCACCTTCCCCTAGGACAACAAATCCGCCCTCCTTATCCGCTGGCAGAACGCACAGTCGCTTCTGCTTCAAGAACGACACAACACGGCTTACAGGCACCCGTGAAGCCCCAATATTCTTCCGCGAGATCACATCAACCCCTTCCGATATACATCGATTCGCTTCACCTTCCGGGGCACACTTTGATATCCGTCGCACAAGGCTCAAAAGTTCCGGCGCACTCAACCGTGGCTCGACGGCGAACTTAGGTCCAAGTTTAAGAGCTTTTTCAACGTAGTCTGGAAGACTAACCTGGCCGGTGGTTCTGACGCTGCACGTGGTTGGAACTGTCTTCTTTGGGATGCTGGCACGTAAGCCTGGCAGAGTCTGCTTCCACATGAATTCCGTGCCGCTGCTGACGATCGCTAGAAGATTCTTCCACTCCCTGGTGGCATGTCGTGTCCTTCCTGGATCTCCCAAGGAGGTCTTGAGCAGGTCCTTTAACATCCGAGCCTGCCTGTGCCACTCACTCCTAAGAATCTTGAGGACTCTGATGCCATGCCCGGCTGAAGGAGCGAGTCCACCAAACAACCGCACGACTTCATCCGGTAGGTGCTTGCAGCGAATGAAGAAGGAAAGGGAGCGAGCTTGGCAGTTGGCATGAATCAAGAGGGGAGCAACTGAACACGGATCGTACGAAGAACACAGAAAAGAGCCCGATGTACTAGAAATAAATTTTAGCAGTGCCATTTTTTGGGCGTGTTGGTAAAGGGAGCTTGACGACATATTGAGCGCTAAGAGACAGGGACAGGAGAGAGTGGACACCACAATGCGCTAACTTCAACAATTTTTATTTTCAGGAAACGCGAACCTATAAATCCGTGTACAGTGGCGCCACCAGTCTATCCACTAGCCCAGCAGAAAAGCCCTTTCTCGATCTAACAAGTCAACTGACGGTGCACTTACACATGCGTCACCTTTGCGAAAGATAGCATGGGCTTCAATTCGTCTTGTCACAGCACAGGGTGGCAAAAGTTGTGAGATACGTGGACGATTACCTTGTCTTGTTCGAGCGTGAAGAAAACGTAGCAGTAAGTCAACTCGAAGCTGTTTTTTCTGCTTGCCTTAGCCCACTCATTATTACAGTAGAAGAGCCAACCGATAGCGTGCTGCGGTTTTTAGACGTTGAAATGGAATTCAAGCAGCAGCACACGTGTTGGGAATACAAGCCCAGAGCTAATAAGCCCCTGTTGCCATACCAATCTGCTCACTCGAAGCTAGTAAAAAGAAGCATTGCCAATCTGTGTTTTGGGAACGCATTGCGGAAATCTTGCCATCATAAAATTCAGAAAAGTGTCATGAGTCAGTCGGAGAGGTTATCCGCAGCAGGTTTCCCAGAGTCGATACAGGTGTCTGTTGTCGAGGGTTGGTGTCGTTGTCGAGGGTTTGCTTAAAAAATGCCGGTTGGACAGTCGCCCTCGGGAAGCAGACATCCAACCGGCAGCGAGTAGGAGCAGAGTTGCAGTAGTGCCGTACCTGCACAAAACTGCTCATAACCTGAAGAAAGTAGCTAGTCGAGTGGGCATCAAAGTAGTATTCTCAGCACCACAAAAGCTTGGCAGGATAAGTCGCTTGACGGACCCGCACCGCAAGCCTGCTGTCGGTTGCTCCAAGAAGCATCGCGATCATTTTGTGGCGTGTGTTGAAGGGGTAGTTTATGGGCTTCCTCTGACTTGTGGTGGTATATGTATAGGTCAGACGGGTAGATGCCTTAATGACCGTCTTCGTGAACATAAGCTCAATGTTAAAAACAAGAATAATTATGGCCATTTGTCAGTACATTGCGTGGAATGTGGTTGCACACCCTTGTACGCATCCTGCAGTGTTCTGGCGAAGCATAAAGATAAAGACGTGCGAGAGATAATTGAAGCCCATGCTATCTTTCGCAAAGGTGACGCATGTGTAAGTGCACCGTCAGTTGACTTGTTAGATCGAGAAAGGGCTTTTCTGCTGGGCTAGTGGATAGACTGGTGGCGCCACTGTACACGGATTTATAGGTTCGCGTTTCCTGAAAATAAAAATTGTTGAAGTTAGCGCATTGTGGTGTCCACTCTCTCCTGTCCCTGTCTCTTAGCGCTCAATATGTCGTCAAGCTCCCTTTACCAACACGCCCAAAAAATGGCACTGCTAAAAAGTATAAATGCCGACGCGCTTCGCCGCTTGTCAGTTGTTGATCGAAGGCCGACGCTCCGTTCGCCGCTATCAGTCCGAGACTGCTATCTGTGCGAGACTGCTGCTGTAATTGGACTTTCAGTTTACCGGGCACAGGTTCGCCCAAATAAACAGTTAAATCCTAACACGAAGTCTCCTGTCTTCGGCCACGTCACGACCCCGTGACAGTATTGTATAGGCAGCATCTCGTCGAGCGCATGCTTTTGTGCATGGACAACTCGTCGCAATACGAGGTGAGTTTGCTTAGTGCCATGAACATGCTAGCGCGAGCTTGGACCCGCGTGAAAGAAGAAACCATCGCCAATTGTTTCCGGGCCTGTGGTTTCATGGAAAACTCGGGGGATGCTTCTCCTTGTGCGCCAGTGGAAGTGCAAACAAATGAGTTCGACGACGGTAGCTTTCGCGCCGCTCTTGGTGACGTCCGTTTTGACGAGTATGTCGCTGTGGACAGCAACGTCGAAACATGCGGTCCACTAACGGACAGCGAAATCGTGCAGATGCTTCGGCTCCATGACTGCATTCCTGAAAATGACGATGATGACGACGACATCGGAAATGAGCCACCACCGAGGGCTGCCGATGTAGCTGCGGGTCTTGCTCTTGCGCAGCGGTTTTTTGTTGGAGAACACAACACCGAAGAAGCACTTCAACACGTGTATTCCTTACAAAACTTGCTAGCCGCAGCCAGATTCGGCAAGCAGAAGAAGATGACAGACTATTTTTCCTCAAAACTGTTGCACTTTTAAACTAATAAAAGTGCGGTTTTTAGTGCTTTTTGCTTAATTCGAAGTTCGTTTAATACGAAGTTCCCGTGAACTTCGTATTAACGGGAGTCGACTGTAATCTAACATGCTAGAAACAAACCTGAGGGATACCAAAGACAAAGAGAATACCTTTCTCTCGTATAGTTTCTTTGCTTTATTGTTTCCGTACAATTTCATACAAGTGCATCACCATAATTTGCTGTTGGCTAAATTTGTGAGTGAAGTTGCAGTGTCCTCACCTGGACCCCAAAGAGGTCTTCTGAGGAGTGCCGCTTCAGGAGGGCCCACTCTGATGGCTGGCCCTGAAGCAGGTTGGCAGCCATCGCCATCTCTCCACACGTGATGTCCGCCCCAAACTCCTTGCACACTCTTCGGAAAGGAAGGTTGCCCACCTGCACAAAAAAACCCAGCCATATTAATACCTTGAAAAAGATGCAGTGTTTGTCCAGAAAGTAGTAGACTGATATTTTTCTTGCCATGGGCTCCACTGGCTCTCGTGAGCCATTACAATGGTTATACAATTTTTTTTTGCAACTTTCAAGTACTTTAATGAGAAGTTTAACAGCTGTTTCGAAAATTTTCATGAATACTACCAGCACATGTGGCTCTTTTTAAACATGTGCTGATCAGTGTTGTTAAACATGTGCTGATAAGTGTTGGCGTGCAGTTGTTGCATCTAAGTCTGAATACACTGTCTTATCTTCTATTCTGTGCTAACGGAAGCCACGGGGCAGTAGCCTCGGTAGGCCTACATGTACGAGTGTAAATAGACACTGGGAGCTTTTCAGTTTGTGCCTCCAGGGAACTGAATATGACCGGCATTATCTCTGATTGTGGAAGGACATTGGTCTTTGGGTTACTGCAGCCCGCTTCAACGCAACATGAAGTCAGAAAGTCAATGAGTTGAGACAACCATGTGTCAAAATGAGCTTTCAAGCGGGAAGTGCCTTGGCTTCAGGAGCGCACTGCCTGTTGCAGCCTCCACAGCTGAACTTCGACAACACATCAGAGTGGCCGGCGTAGATACAGACGTTCAAGGACTATTGCTTCGCGTCTGGCCTGAACGAGTACTCGGAGGAGGCATAAATGCAGGCGAAATTGCAATTCCGCCTAGTTAGAACATATCCATCATGAAATTTTTGTGCAAGCACACAAAGACACAGAAAGGAAGACAAACGGGCGCAATTTAATAAATCTAACAGTTGTTAGATTGCGCCCGTTTGTCTTTTTTTTTTTCTGTGTCTCCGTGTGCTTGTGCGAAAATTTCATAATAAATGCGGGCCCTGCTCTATACCATGGGTCGATAGACACCAGACACCTTTTCAACAATCAATTTTTCTGAGCACGATGCGAAGAAGTAAAACTTTGTAAAAAAGAGGCTTGACGAGTACTTTCTCAAGGACCACAACTTAATGTAGGAGAGTGCTCACTTTTACAAGAGACAGCAGGTGCCTGGAAAAACCATTGACATCGACCACTTCATGACAGCGCCAGCCTGTTCTGGCAGACCGGTGAGACTTCAGTGACTGAAGGGCCATCTGACTCCGGCAATGGCTCTAGTAAAAGCATGACTGAAGGAAACAGTGCAGATGCAACAAGAGCTTCGTGCAGCGAATGGTGCCTGAAATGCTTCTTTGATCCAGGAGTGCAGCGAATTGACGCCGGTGGGCATCAGAGCGACTAGCAGAAAATAGTCTCCGGAAAGCAAGGTTCACGTTACAATTTCTGCGAGGACTGTCTGGCCAGCCAAGACACAGAAGTGCAACAACTGCAATATGAAAGGACATTTCAGCACGGTGGTTCTCAAGAAGACTTCACAACGGCGACAAGTACGGGTTTCTTCAGTTCGAGCAAACTCTAGTGACGTTTTCTGAGGAACTGTCAATGCATCTAGCGCAGGGTCGCGATTTATCCTAGTAAGAGTAAATGATGAGCCAGTTTTTACTAAGGTGGATATGAGCGCTATAGTTTGTAGGGGGTTTTTAAGCTGCTCTGCCCAGAACCCTACGGGGAAGACGCAGAGCCAGACCAGGAACCTTCTTTATTGACCGGAACCCGGGCCGCAACTGCCCGCTGCCAGCCACTGCCGCTTGCCACTCTGCGCACACCCAATTATCGTCCTCCTCTTCTATCTCCGATCAGCGTGCTCACCGTGGCCCACTCCTATACTGCCCTCTCCTCTTTGGCGAAAGAGGAAAAAGGAACGCGGTGCCATAGCAGTTAACCCTGGCCACGATGGAACTGTATGTGGTGCACAAATCCACATGCCAGCGCAGTCCTTCCACAACTCGCTGTGAGACATCATGGTCTGCAGGACGCGGGAACTGCTAATTCGCACAGCGTAGGGAACTCTGCGACCACCCGAAGGTGGAGGCGCACTAGACTTGTTGAAGTTCACGACCGCAGTCAGGTTGATTACAGGAAGCTGACGCTTCTGGTGTAGATACGGTACTGATGAATCAACAGGCCCAGAGAAATCGAAATAGACTCCCTGGTGCTGGCGTTGCGATATGGTGCTTTGTCGTAGCAGACCTTTTGCTGTGTCTTGCCTTGCCCTGGTATCTGCCCGGACTATTTGTTTGGCCACTCCTCCACATGGTAGTCGGCGTACGCTGGCGACCTTGGCAGCCATGAAGGCGTGACGTCTACATAAAAGGCTTGGCTGCCTGTGCCTTCGGTGGTTACCCTTTGGCTTTCCCTGATATAGTATCTCGGCAGCAGCTCAGATCTGGTGAAAAGCATTGTTTTCAGTGGAGATGATCCCTTGCAAAGTCTCAGCAATGGCTTTACGGGCTCTTTCACTTCAGGCATCTCAGCTCTCTCGAACTTCTTGGCTGTGTTGTCTGAAGCTTCTGCGATGGCTTTCTCATCCACAGAATCGGCGGCACTGTTCCCTGTCAATCATGACCTTTACATCGCCGGCGTCTTTGCATTCCATTTCTTAGTTCGATTCGACGTGTTGCAGTGTGTCGTCGCCCTTGCCATAATACTCGACTTCCATCGCTGGCTGCTTCCCAGTTTTCAACGGTCTCTCCCTCCGTGCCACCTTTCCTTCGATGTTCCCCTCGATCTCCTCAATGTCCTTTTCACCATTCCCAGACTCGATGACCTCTTTTAACTCCTGAGACTCCTCAGCCTCCTCACCATCACACTTCCCGACCCTTTCTTGGCAACGCTGACACTCTTCGGTCTCTCCTTCGGCTTCCAGGGACTCTTCGACCTCTTTCTCAACGACCTCCTCCTCCACCTCCCTGAGCTCAACACCGTTAACATTCTCCACATCTTTTTCGATGCACCCTTCGTCGCCCTCTAGAACCGCCTCATAGCACACCTCTTCCGCATCCACAGTGGCGTTCAGCTTCCCTTCAGTGTCTTTCTAGATATTGGCTGCCCTGGAGTTCTCCGTCCTTGGTAGCGCTGTTGCGGTACTCGTCTGCCGCCTCTCTATCAAGGTGCCACACGTAATGGTGACTTTTTCTGTCCCTTTTCTTCCTTGTCCTCTTTTTTCTTCGCCTTCTGAATCCCGCTCTTTTCGTCATTGACTACTTCTGAATCAGCAACGTCATCGCGTCGCGCAGTGTCTCCACACATAGCGTCTGCCGCTACGCCGCCGACGCCGACATTCTGTTCACTGGTCCGGCACTCACCAGTGTCCTTCTTGCCACCTGGAAGGTCATCGGGTTCGTTCACGAAGAGCTTCGTTACCATCGCTGTGGACTGCACGGCACTCCCGTTGTCCGAGCATGCAATAGCGCATGCGTTGTCGCCACTTTCATAGCGGTCCCAAGGTGCCTCCATGGCACACGAGCCCCCCGTGTCATGTGCGTCGCCTGCACTCCCCTCGACGTCTCTCCCAGTCTCGGCAAGTGTGGAGCTCTCCCCCTCGGCCATGTTGTTGAGGTGCTTTACATCCGCATTGTGGTTCTTGCTGGGCCTTGGCAATCGCCTTGGTCATTCTGGGCAGTAGAACCCTCGTTGGCGGACGATGCACCGCCGCTGCATCTCTTGTGTCGTGGTGCCATCCCATCGGACGAGGTTGCCACGCCCTCCATGGCCTGCGCGGGTAACGGGATGTCGATGTAACAACAGAAGTACTGACACGCTAAGTTGACATGGCGCAGCTTGTCGGGAGGTTGTGGCTCATAGCGCTGGCCCCGAAAGACAGCCTCCTCGACTCTCCGAGCACAGCAGGCGAGCTCCTCGAGAGAATGAAAGGAGTGGCCAACAGTTCTTGCTGAAAACGGGGATGGCATCGCCGCATAACGTGGGAGACCTCAACGGTCTCAGGAGCAGCGGGGTCCACTCAACGGAAGAGCTCTTGCATAGCTCGAACATAATCGCGCAGACCCTGCTCTGAATGTTGCGTTCGGGCATCGAGCTCACGCCGGATACGGTAGTCGTAGGCGACCCGCAGGAACACTTCCCGAAATGCCGCGACAAACTGGTTCCAGGACTGGAAGAGAGCTTGAAGACGTCGCCATCGTTCAGTGGCACAGTGCAAGGGAACCGGTAGAACACCCCGGAGCACGCCGGACTTCAAGAAGCCGCTAACGACCGAGTAAACGAAAAAGTTGTCAATAAAATCGATGACCGATTCCTTTGCCTCTTGGCCAGAAAAGGTGGGCACGGTCAGCGGCGTTATCAAGGCCACGGTCGTGAACTGCCTCGATGTCCCTGGCCCACGGGCAGGGTTCTTCCCGTTGGGCGCCAAGTGTAGGGGGTTTCTATGCTGCTCGGCCCAGAACCCCGCAGAGAAGATAAGGAGCTAGACCAGGAACCTTCTTTATTGTCCGGAAACCGGGCCGCAACTGCCAGCTGCCAGCCGCTGCCGCGTGCCACCCTGCGCACATCCGATGATCGTTCTCTTCCACCTCCGATCTCTGCGCTCCCGGTGGCCGCTCCCTTAAGTTTCTGTAGTACGACAGACTTTTCCAGGGTGACCCACCAAATTAAGCAAGGCAGACAAGGTGCTCACAAGAGCCAGTGGGGTCCATCTCGATGTTCTGGGCAAGCACAAGGCAGAAGTTCAATCTATGCACTTTTCTGCCAGAAACGCCTTCTCTGCACACCGGTGTTTTCTTGCATCCTGAGTAGCTGAAAAATCATTCTCAATTCCTGTCTTTCCAGGCCACGCGGTACTTTCATATCACAAGGGTCACTCAATGTGCAACACATTTGACGAGTTTGCAGTGTTGATAATTCGATTTGGCTTCTCATTCTATGTGATAACTGAAATATGGTGCACAGATAACAGTGTGTTCACCCTACGAATGTATGAGACATATTTTATTACCACCCATGTGGATGTCAGGGGGGAGGTGTCTTGCCACTTGTATTCTGATATTGAAAGCCGATAGATTTTTGAATTTTCTTTTGTCTCAGATAGTTGCGA